GGTTGCAGGCAGCTGACCCATCTGTTGTTGAGTCTGCTTCCCTCGGTGTCTGGTGCAGATAGCACAGCGCAGAATGTACGCTCTGACTGTGCCCCTGCCACCGATTATCCAGTACCTTTGTCTGGTGTAGGCCAGCGTGAGTTGAGTCCCTCCGTGGAGGGTTCTGCGATGAGCTTCTTCGATCACCAGTGTGGTGAATCTCGACTGACGTGGCAAGATTATTGGGTGTGTCTCTTCAGGGTGTAGGTCTGAGTTCTTCAGGCGTCCCCCAAGTCTCATGATGTTCAACTCGTCTAGGGTTGGTGTGAGCTTTGCTAATTGGTGACCTCGTGGTAGCTGTTGATTTCTCTGAAGCACACGAAGGGCCGAAACAAAGTACTAATTTTGTGTTATTTTTACCCAGAATAATCTCGCTTCGTTGAGTTCTCTTGTTGACAGGATTGGTCCCGGGGGCGTCGGCAGTCTCCTGAATCTGTCGATTGCCCTGTTGATAGTCGCTGTTACTGCTAGAAGCCGAGCCATCGAGCTGTACCTGGTGAGTAGCTCAGCAAGTTCGTTGACTTTTGGTGCAACTGGATGTGCTCGTGCTGGTTTCGCTTCCTTGGCCACTTCTGGGATGTCCATTGCTGGACCGTCAATTGTTGATTGTGGCCACTCTTCAGGATCCTGAGTAATCCACTCAGGTCCTGACTACCAAAGTTGATGATCTGCTAGCTGACTTGGAGATATGCCTCTGGATGCGCAGTCGGCTGGATTTTCTTTCCCACTGACGTGTCTCCAGATGGCATTCGGGAGAGTTTCCTGGATCTTGACCACTCTGTTGTGGACGAAATCTTTCCACCTTGATGCGTGGCTTCTGATCCAAGCGAGTGTTACTGCTGAATCCGACCAAAGATGAGTTTCTGCATGGTCGAGCTGAAGCATCCTCTGTGTTGAGGCTACTAGTTGTGTTAACAAGAGAGCTGCTGTAAGCTCTAATCTTGGAATAGTCATGCGCTTGATCGGTGCTACCTTTGTCTTTGCGCAGACCATTACTGTTGAAGCTGGCTCGTTGATGTTCCTGGTGCGTATGTACACCACTGCACTCATAGCTACGGTTGAAGCATCTGCGAATCCGTGTAATTGAATGTTACTTTCTTTTGATGTTAAATTGAGCCATCTGGGTACAGCAACTTTGTCCAATTCTGTGAGTTCCTGGCGAAATAACTCCCACCGTTGAGTGTACTCCGTGGGGAGGGGGTCATCCCAATTACATTTGAGTTTCCAGAGATCCTGTAGGAGGATTTTCCCTTTTACGACGACTGGAGCGATGAAGCCCAAAGGATCGAAGATCTGAGCTATCTCTGAAGATACAACCCTTTTGGTGATCGTCTGTGTGTTGAAGTCTCTGGATTTATACCTGAATGTGTCGGACGACTGATGCCAACACATTCCAAGAACTTTGGTGACTGATTCTTCAAACTGGATTACGGCTTCCTCTGTTGATAATCCGAGCTCGTGCAATAGCCGTGGGCAATTGCTGCTCCATTTCTGAAGAGCGAAGCCTCCAGCCTGACAGAGTCCTTGT